GTCGCCGCGTCAGTTGTTGTTGTTTTTTTCCTTCGTAGGATTTACGTTTTTGATTTTTTTTTTTTTTTTTTCGTGCTATGTGTCATCCCTGAAATGCCACAGCCCGGCCTTGTTGGGCCGACCGGCCTGCCACTCGGGCGACCCCCGCTTCCTCAGGCGCGTTAACGGGGATGCCCCGCGGCCCATGTATGGGCCAAGTACTGGTGGTTTAAGTGCGTAGTTTTTCATCCGCTAATTACAAATTTCTAGACATTTCTACTTGCTGCAGTTGCAGAAAAAAAGAGGAAACAGCTACCCACCTATGGTGGGAAAATGTGTGGAGTCAAAACGGATATGCCTTTGGTGGTGCAGGCAGGTTGTGGGGCAAACAGGTGGGAGTGAAGGCGGACTGGGGCAGGCAGGTTGTGTGGCTCCAGTCCTGGCAGACCTGGCGGATACAATGACAAAAGACACCCCTCTGAGGATAACAACTTGCAAAACTTTTGAGCCCACTCAGAATGCACATGGGGTTCTTGGATGGGTATCTGCTCTACGTGCTTTCTGATGGGGTTAGTTTTGGAGGGCTATCTACATACTTCTTCTGCCTTTGCCGAGTTTTTCTTGGACACTTACCCTCAGCGGACAGTGCACCCTCGATGGAACGGGTAGCGTTGGTTTCCTTTTTTTTTCCTTCTTTTTTTTTTTACACAACAACATTGTCATCATTTTATTAGGGCCCAGTGCCCAAGGCCAGAGATACAATGGTACAGGTTCCAGATTCAGGGGACGTTAGGTCTCCAGCCTGCTTCATGAGGTGGAGCCCCTCCCCTGTGGCAGCTCAATGAGAAGTCAAAGAAAATCGAAATGATAACAAACAACCACATGAAATTACATTTCCTAATCTAGCAAGTAGGTTTTTAAAGAAGATCAGAAAAAGAGCAAAAGAGTTGATCTACTGCAGGAAAGAGCCGAATTGGAAATCTCCGTTACAGGCATCAATGGATGCCAAGGAGGGATTGCAGGCCCAATGATGGTGGAACCACTTGAACCCACCACGCAAGTTTCATCTTTGCCCAATCTTTTTGCCCCAATCCAGGCAGATGATGTGCCAAAGGTCGGTCTTCACTCAATGAAGTACTCGCTGAACTGAAGGAGACTCGCCATTTCTGACCACAGCATTACGGTGCCGCCATAGATGCGACAGCACTGTTGCCCTGATGGTTTCATATACATAAGCTTGTGGTTTTGTAAAAACCAATAGTACAATACCCAGAAGAACGGCATCCTTTAAAAAAAAAAAAAAAAAAAAAAAAAAAGAAGAAGAAGAAGAAGAATGGCATCCTTGGACCAGAGGTCCCCGTGATGATGAGGGAGGAGAGCGGCGTTTTCAAGTGTTGTCCACACTTCTCGAGCGTATTTGCATGTAACCCACAGGTGTTGTTGGTCTTCCACCAGATGTCCTGTGGAGCAAACTGTGCAAAAAGGAGAGCCTTTTTTTTCGTCGACGATACAAAAAAGCAGCAGTGGGAGTGGCATTGTGCATGATCAGCCAAAGTAAACCAGCATGTTTTGCCACTGTTAGGGTGGGTAGAACACACCAAAAAGCAGTGAGTTTGACTTGGGAGAGTTGAATCCCTAGTCGTCGCAATTTAGTCATGACGCCCCAATCAACATCAATGCTGGCAGGTCACACAGTTACTGGCCACAGGTTCTTTTCAATCCCCAGACCATTGTGTAAATGGGATGCTGGACCCGATTTCCAGCAGGTGACGCTCCCCACCAATAGATGGAGCCCCTCCCCGGGTGCTAGTGGTGTCTGCTCTTATCAGCAGCACTAGCACCGGGGGGTGTTTGTTATAAAAAAAAA